GAAGATCATGGCACTGGAACTGATTTCCAATGCATAAGTCAGTCATAGATACATATATATGTAATGTTACAATAAGAAAGAAAAAGAGACCATCAATTTGATAATAGGAAGGTCACATTGGGGAGATCCGAGGATGGAGAGGAACAGGACAGATGACACAATCAATTATCACTATACTATAATCAAATGAAAAAATCAAGACAAAATTAAATTGTTAACATATTTGGATAAGCAATCACTACTACCACAAACCAAGTAGACCTCACATTAACTTTCTCTTTCTCAGTGTTTTTCTCATGCTATCAAAATAAGGCAAGTTTCTTTAAATATTTTAAATTTTGTCTTTAGTACATAGTCATGACATTCATAAAATGAGAGTAAGAAAATCAGGTATTTAAGTGTTTAAAAATAAAGACAATAAGTACAATACCTCTGTGGTGCTGGCGATATGTTCATTTAGACAGTTTCCATGGAACACTGCTTCCTGTGTATCAGACTCTTTAAATACCACCGAATCAATGCAGATCCTAAATATAAATAAAAGACGGTTACTGATGTCATTAAGGGGTTTCAGTCATTTCCAAAATTAATAGCATACATATATACACTGGGAAAGGGAAACACAAAGTGATACGCCAAGGCTTACAGATACTGTAACTTAAGCCTCATTTCTGTCTAACTTTTATACTTTAAGCAACGTAACTAAAAGAGTAGTTTTGTAGATCAACAAATAAACTTTATAGTTTTATAGTGTATATTAAGGTACAAATGCAGGCACTAGTTTTACAAATTTATTGAAGATACTTTATCCTGTAAAAAAATAAAATCTCAATTTTATTAAAACATATTTAATGCACACAAGCCTGCTAGGAGGCACACACCAACAGTCAGAATGAGCACTTACAGTGGGACTGAGGTACAGAGGCAGGAACAGAAGGTTCCTACTTAACATAGTCATTTTCAATGTGTTGTTTTTAATCTATTCTTGTGGATTATTCAGTATATGTCTTGATTTTACATTGTTCTACAAGCATTCATTAATTTACCATATGCTTAGTGTGCATAATAAAAGTCAAGCAACATGAACATTTAGGAATACAGGAGAAGGTAAAGGGAGAAAATCATAATATTTACTTTCATCAAATATAATTACTCACTCCCCATTCATTTGTGACCATACTGCCTTCTTTGTTCTATTTTCTCTTTTTTCTTTTCCAATTTCTTTTTTTTCCTGTTCTGTTCTACTTTTTTTTCTCCTATTTTCTCTATCTAAAACTGACCATATACAAATGATGTCACTGACGAGCTTTATAAGTTAACTTCCAGTGGCGATTCACCCTTTCCAACTGTTCAGTAATATAAACAATGTTACAATACCCAATATTATAGTTATATCTTTGATGCTCCCATCTTTTTTTATGATAAAAAAATCTCATAGCTGTTAAGTGTAATACCTAAAATCCTGACACTTCATTGGCAATGACTTCCTTCTGTGTGTAACCTTTATTGGTGTTTATCCCAAATCAAAAAATGCCAGTTTGGTAACACTGAATTCACTGCTGCCCTCTAGACCTGATGTGTCCACTGGCCGCTTCCTATGTGATCTCACCCTTTATATAAATGCAGTCGAGTTCCACATTCTCTACCAGACACAGGATCACAGTATTTTTCTAGATGTTTCTAATAACTTGTTTATCACATGTATCAATAGTCATACTTTATTATGTTTTCCTGTTATTCTATTAGGCAATATTACAGAAATTTGCAATGAAAATGTTACACAGACATGCAAATTCTGTGGTTTAAATTCCAATAGTTTATAGCCCCAATCATTACTATCTCTTGATCATTACTCATAAATAACTTATGAATAATGCCCACTTCACAATTACATTGAAATGCCTTAGAAAAGCCACTTTATATACATCTCTCATTCATTTTTTAAAAATCAATTTAAAGGTATATTAAAGGCATCCAATATCATTATGGCACCTCCTAGCAAAATACATTGTAGCAGAGTCACCTCACTGATTGCCCAATGGCCTCACCTTCCCTGACGCCCTTTCTCCTCCAAATTTCCTTTCTGCTTTCAAATCACAATGTGTTCTTTTGCCCCTCCTTCACCTTCCCCAGCAACAATTTTTGATCTCAGCCCCCCACAAACACAAGACATAAAACTCACAACTAGAAATGATTTTTAGTATAGAAAATAGCAGTATGAAAAATAAAGTTAACCAAGACAAGTTCAATATTCAAATAACACCTAGATGGAATCAAAATCAACATCTAATAAAAATTGGAGTGCATGCAAAAGATTTTTAAAAATTAGTCTAATTAATGATAAGAATTATCAACCCTTCCGATAGTATACTTATACGGAAAAATTTCATACACATTACAACTTTTAAGACAAAATACAAATTTAAGACAAATACAAGATAAAATGTGTTTACTGAACTGACAGTGGCATCTGACCCTGTTCTGATCAAGTACACACGCTATACCTTTCACTGCACAGGTTTACATCAATTGTTTCATCTTCAGGTTTTCTCATCAATATTGTTTCTTCTGATGTACGTTCATCAACGTTTTCTGTGTCATTTTCATCCTGTGTAAGCTGGTGTAAAGGCAGAGAAGACAAGACAAAGAGAAAACCTGTCATCTTAGAAACAGCAAGTCCTACTTGTATACTTGTACTAGATAAAACAGAAACATCTGGGCATGATGTTAGACTCACAGGGTACCTGAGTTGGTTTTTTTTTATCTGATTATTAAATAACGTCAGACAGAATATAGGATGCTATGAAAACCAGTGAGTAACAGGATACAAACTATGCTCCAAAGGCTATTTTAATTGGTCACTATTCTATTAGGCATCCTCTACTACATGCCTACCTCCTGAATATATTTTTTATTTCATTTCTTGTATGTTTATGTGTGTGATTATGTGTATGTACATGCATGTTTGTGCATATACATGTTATATGGGGGTGCATTGGCATGGAAGTCAGAGGTCAATAGCAAGCATTTTCCTCTTTCAGTCTCTCAGTTTTTCAGATAGTTTCTCAGCATATTTGGAACTTGTCATTTAGGCTAGACTGGTTGGGAAGCTGGCTAGCCCCAGGGAGTACTCCTGTCTCAGCCCACCCCACCAAACTGGCATTACAGGACATGCCACCTCTTATAGGGCTTGGAGGGATTAAACTCAGGTCCTCTTCTTGTACAACAAGTTCTTTACTGAGACATGCTTCAGTACCCTGAGTATGTCTAAAAGGGAATTCTTACCTAGTACTTCCTAGAGGGAAAAAATAAAAAGCCATCAGATAATATCGTAACTTTACAGACTAACATTTTACTATCTCTAGTCAATTCATTCACAGACATTGACTGAGCCTTTACCATGTGCAATCCAAATGCTGTGCTGACAGGAAGGACTAAACACAGGATTCTCTGATTTCAAAGTTTGGAATTTTGTGACAGAGGTAGATTAGTAAACAAGTATAATAAAATAAAAAGTCATGTGATTCAAATAGATGCTTAACACAGAACATTAAAACATGAAAGAAAAAAGGATAACCAGGCATCTAGGCTAAGGGAAGTTCAGAGGAACAGAGGGAAAGATGTCTATGCCTAGGAAGGCAGGAGAGGATGACAAAAGAAGGGAACACTTAAACCAACTGTAACAAGACACAGGTACACATCAAAAATAATGGAGAAGGATGGGTACCACTGGGCAAAAGGAATAGCATTGCAACAAAGCCCAGGAGTGAGTTTGGTTGATCTGGCTGGAAAAATGATGCTCTGCAGTCCTGACCTCATTCCGAGGGCCTTGGGGTGTTCCTGCAGCCACAGCTAACTTGCTGGGTTAAACCATTCATTACCCAATGAGCAAAGAAGAGTTTGGAGAGCAGTTTTGAGAAAGACCGGCTGATAAGTTTTTCTCTTGGCAGTAATTAGAACACCTATCAAAGAGCTTTCTGTGCTACTACAGACCTGCCTGAATGGTAATTTTGAGTTACCATTGCTCCACAGAGAAGTTTTATGGTCTGGTCTGTGTAATCACTTTTGGTTGATTATCTACTACTTGAGAAAAAACTTTGGACTCCTAGGCTCAGATGAGCGCTGTTGGTACACAATTTGAACATGTTATTACACTCACACTGAAGAATTACAGTGTCAAGTGATTCTACTGAGAGAGGACATGCACCTCCTTTCCTTGGGACTTTGACCATGCATCCTTTCAAGCCCTTCCAAACCAAACTTGGCCATGTGTCCTTTTGCTGTGATGGGTCCTAGTCCTATATACAACTAAAAATCTTGAAAATTTACCTAAGCATTTTAGCAGAACTGAATGACAAAAACTATCTCAAATAGTCTCTTTTGTCATTTTTTCCTTTAACTTGAAAATTGGAACATTTATTACTGACAACATGTGCTGTATCTTTGTGATATGGCTATTAAGTTATATTATGTTGTATATATCATATCTGATTTTTAAGAACACATTATAAAATAACTAAAACAGAACAAAATTGATATATATGGATGATGTGTAATAATATTGGTTATGTGCAAAATAAAATAATTATCTTCTTTAAAATATAAAAACAGACTCATTGCCTTAAAAAATATTACATGTAACAGGTTGACAATATAGACTGCTGTCCTACAGTGTGCCTTGGTTCAAACTCCAGTAAACAATAAAAGGAAAGACATTTAAACAATGAAATACAATTGTTTCATTTACTTAACATTTAACATTCATATACATTTCATCATGACTTAAAAAACCATCTCAGAGAGTTACATAGCATTCAATTTCTGGAAATTGCTTCGGCTCCCTGATATAAATGCTCTAACACAAACATATAAATGGTTAGTATTTCTAGTATCCTTTCCCATGTCCACTTATTTTAGATCTTCTTGACTGACAGAACAGTGGGCAATAAAACAAATGCAAACTCCTTATGTTCTATCCCACAGACCTTGCTTAACCGCGTCTGCAGTGCCACGAGCTTGCTGTATTCATCTGACAATTTACTGAGATGGGTTTGCACGTGACCTTGAAAATCTGGGGAAAAACAATTATAATAATTTTACTTCACAATACAAGTTTGTCTTTTTAAAAAAGTATGGTTTACCTACTTACAAGTTTAGTGAAAAAAATCTGGTAGCAATAAAACTCATATATCAAGTAATAAAAAAATTTTTAAAATTATTACTGTGAAATAAGTGGTATAACATTAACTTGAAAACTTCATCCCAAGATACATTAGTTTCTGTAACTATTTTTTAGTGGGTTGCTTATTACCTATACAAATATACTGGGAACATACATCTGTAAAGGAACACCAAGAATTTCAAGATGTAATATGAAGAAAGTTATTTCTTTCCTTCTTTAGCCCTGGTTGGTCTGAAACTGCTAAGCAGACCCAAGTGGCCGAGGAATCCCAGAGACCCACCTGCCTCTGTCTCTTGAGCATGAGTATTGAGAATAAGGCTTGCACCACAACACCTGGCAAAGGGTATTTCCTAATGTATCTCACTTCTCAACTGTTTTGTTATTCATTTTGAAAGTTATAAAACATAAATTTAAACTTAGTAAACTCAGTAATTTTTTAAAGATTTTATAAGCATCTACAGTTAGAATCATTAAAAGAAAGAATTAGAAAATAGGTGGAAATAGAGAAATAGAGGAGAAAGAAACAAAAAAGTAGAATGCTTAAATCATCCAGAGTAAAATTGTTACACTACAAAGCCTAAAAGTATACAGTAAATATAAATTTCATGCCTAAAGATAAGACACTAAGATAGAAAACACATCTATAATTAATTTAGGATTAAAGCTATGTTTATAAGCAATTTACCTGAGCAAATTAAATACTGTTTAACAGTATGGTAAGCTTTTTACCTTGAACTTGGTATCTATACTCTTGTAATTTTAGATTTCGATTTTGATTGTAAACATTAGAATTCTCTTTCTCTTCTATATTCATTTCACATTTTAAAGGAGTACAGTGTTCATCAAGAAAACTGTTCAGACTCTGTTAAGAAAATTGAATATTTTAAATTAAAACTTTGATTTCTTCTAAATATTATAAAACATTATTAACCTAAAAGGTAAAAGGTCAAAATAGTATGAATGGAATCTTAATTCCCTCTTCCTCCACATGTGAAATCAATCTGCAGAAAAACCACATTTCTCTTTGACATGAAATTATTCTTTTATCAGGAAGAGATTGATAATCTTAATTATACAAAATAATGTGCTTTTTTTCTGTTTCTTTTTAACACTGGAATATATCATGAAGTGTAAGTGTTCACTCCCTACCATGGCTCCTACTCTCTACCTTGAAAACATCTCATACTATGTCAAGTATCCTTGAACAACCATCACAAGGTGAGAAGTTCAAAATGACAATTACAGAGGTCTGCCAAACCCATCAAAATGAGTATATATCAAGGAATAGACTGTGCTAGTGTCCTTTCTATGATACGCAAGTGTGCTTGGTGGTCTGTACACACACACAAAGTTAAAAATATTCAGCACAATGTTCTCTAGAACAACTAATAATACATTAGAATTTAAAATACGATTTCATGTTCTGTGACTTGATAAGTCATCCAAGTTAGTTCTCCCTTTGTCTTTCATACAATTGGAAATAAGCACCAATGATTTAAAAGATTTTAAAACCAAATAGTTTACTGCTGCTATCTCTTGCAAGTTTAAAAGTTAAACCACACTGTCAGTGGTTGAGCGTATTTCCAGCACAGTCACAATGGTAGCACTGACCCCATGGCATCCTTAATGAACCAACTGAGTCCCAGAAGGGTTAACTGGCGCCTCTCTGAGAGGAGCAATGCTTATGCTATCTGCTAGGCTGGAGGTATATAAATTTTTTTGTTATTTTTCTGTGCTGACAGAGATTGAATCCAAGATCTTAAATGTAACAGGCAAGCTCTGATCACATCCTTAGCACTAATTCCTTTTGTTCCAAACTGGCTATCGGTAAAAAGTCAAATGTTCATTTAAAGCTTAGTACTCAGGAATACTTTCTAAGTAAAATTCTACATATAAGATTCAGGAAAACATGGGTGGATGATTCTGCTTATTAAATCAGGAGCAATTTAGACTTTGACAGTTCTTGTCCAAACCCTCCTTCCCCATTCTTTTTTTTTTTTTTTTTCTTTTTCTTTTCCGGTTTTATGAGACAGGGCTTTTCTGTTGCTTTGGAGCCTGTCCTGGAACTAGGTCTTGTAGACTAAGCTGGTCTCGAACCTCAAAGAGATCCGCATGTCTCTGCCTCTCAAGTGCTGGGATTAAAGGCCTGCGCCACCACTGCCCAGCTAAAACCCCTTTTAAAGGACCATTTTACCTCTGAAATAGAACAGCACTCCTCAGACACTGCCTTCTCAAGTCGTCCAATGAGCACAGGCAAAGGCTCTTTATGACCGCCTAGCAGGAAACATGCCACGTGTGAGCCATTCACTGTACATGTGGAAGCAATCCTGTCCTATTTAACTGTTTCAACTAGAAGCTTCCCCAAAATAAGACACATTTTAATTTCTTCCAAATTTATTTTCCATTATGTAATTTAACTGCCTCAATAAATTTCTAAGATTTGCAATTTCTATTCTATACAAGGGTATAGAGCAGTGACCTACACCGTAGCACAAGAAGTACATCTAGATACTTATTCATTAAGTACACCATTGCAAAACTCAGATAAAACTTCCACAATTGAGTCTTTACTTTTTTGCACAGGGACACAGTTCAGTGGTTGGGTACTTTGACCAGCATGTGCAAGCCCTGGGTTTCAGCCCTAGAGCCACAAAATTAAGTTAATTATTAAAATAAAAATTTAAAAATGTTTTCCATTCTCTTCTCACTCTTCAGAAACACTTTTAGCTACTCACTGAACTGTTTTATCACCGCCTAAGAGAACAACCAGCCGTCAACAGAAAACACTGGGTAGGTTCTCTGAAGACAGTATCAGTACAAACAACGTGTGCAAATACAAGTAAAATCTTACTGAATTAAAAACAAAACAAAAAACCCAAAGAACTCTTGAAATAAAAACCTGGCATCATTCTTTAAATGACTTAAAAGTTTACATTTTTTCAACAGAGCAATTCAGCTAGAACCTTAAGAAGTATCTCATTCCTTACGGTAAATATGGGAGCCAAAGGCAGCTAAGTGACAGGAGGCCAGAGGGAAATAATTACTAAGCCCTTAACTGCAGCTAGCCCACAACAGGCTCCACCTTCCACTGTGACTTCTACAGTGTACTTTCCACAGTGCCATCAAGGTTTCCTGCTTACCCTCCATCTCCAGATGTCACTCCGTTCTTGGCCTGGGGGCCTCTGGTCTTCTTCCACGGTGATTCTATTTCTTATTTCCAGCCTAAAAGTCTGCCCTGGGTTTTAGACTTCCTCTTCCAACTCATTAGTACTATTTCTTTTCCTAGTTAGCACATATACTTAACTTAGTAAGTTCTAAACTGGCTTTCTTATTTGTCTATGGTCTGCTCCCCTTTTTAAGTGAAATCACCTTAATGCGGTTACATAGGTAAGAAACTTAAAGGTCAATCTCACCCCTCTCACCCTTACTGCTGCTATAGACTGCCAGAATCGCAAGCAGTTTTCACTGTTAAACTCCACTCACATTTCCTGTCCACTCTCAAGGATATTTAGCTCAACATTTTATTGTGATTATGGCTAAGGTTGTTTAACTGATCTTTCCATCAATTATTTCATTTTTCCCAGTTAATCACACTGGTGTCATCTTAAATAAAAATATCACTGTTGCTTCCTCTATTTAACAGTCCTGCCGTAGGTCTGTCCGATCAGTAGGAGGAAGCTTAAGCATGCTTTACTCAAGACACAGGGTTCTAACCAGGCACTTCCCACTCTGCACCAAAGGGTTCTAACCAGGCACTTCCCACTCTGTAGCGCATCTCCCACTACTTTCTTATGCAACTTTGAACTTCCAGTTCTTCAAAATGGATCCCCAAACTTTGACCCAAATGCTCCTGCCTCACTGTCACAGGAAACACTAAACTTCTCGCCTTTCTCTCCCACTCTTTGTGTTCATCCTGGATTAACTGGATTTAGTCTGGTATACTTCAAATTACAATGCCACCAATCATTAGGATATGCCCTAGACAGATGTGCTAATGTTTCTATAGTGGTGATTCAGCATGTACGGTAAAGCAGGGTTTACAAGTTGTCAGTCTTGTCACTTGACATTCCAGGCACTTCCTGACTAGATTATACTTCCATGTGAAAACGAGGCGGTGATTTTTGCTTTCTTGGGTACATCAATGCTAGGAAGTCCAGGTATGGCATGGAAAGCTATCTTACCCCACGGGCCGGAGACAAGGACAGAGTTACAGACTGCTTACTTGTGTCATGGTCATGGTCAGAAGCTGTTTACCTGTTTCTTGTGTCTGAAGAGCCTGCAGCTGGCACTGGTGCATTTTTTGAAGCTCGTCCATCTTTTTCTCTTGAGCAGAAACAAGCTCGTCTCTGAGGCTACAAAGAGCTTCGTCTCTTTGCTTCTCCATATATTCACGCACCTCATCTGCGTGAGCTGAGTAAACAAGGGAAAGGCAAATCCGCTGGGCTTCCATCTGCAGCCTTAAATCATCCTTAAAGTGAACAGATATAAATATTATGAAAAGTTAAAGTTACAGTTTAACTTCTATTTCTTCACATGCACTGAACCTCAAAGGAGAAAACACTTCAGAGTTTTACATTTCCTTATGAAGAAACTGGTCTGCTTCAACCATCCTCCAGATGCACTGGCCTGCCCGTGTCTCTCACATTATCGCAATGTAATAATGAACTGGGATACTTAGTATAACTAACAAGATTTTTTAAAATAATAATTACATGCTAAAATGATAATAATGTAATAAACATCAATGTACTCAAAACTCACATTAATAAATAGTAATATATTTCTGTTTATTCTATTTTCTTTATATCTCTTTAGATTTAGAAAGAAAACATTAGAGACAAAATTTAATTCATGTTTGATTATTCCTAGACCACAAGTAACTGTTACCAAAAATTTGGAATGTGTCTACTCTCATTTCCCACTGTACATGTAAATAGCATATTATACTGAGTATTTACTGTGTATTTATATAAGTGGCATTTATGTTGCAAATTTCTTTGCATTCCATATCAATATCCTTCTGATATCAATCCACATAGATGACAGGTTAATTTAATTGTAGTGTAGTATAAATGAACCACAACTGGTCCATTTTCCTTTCTGGATCACTGGTAAGTGTGGGGTATTTTGAATCAAAAGGCAGTAAATTATTACATAGATCTACCTAAGACAAATGAAGAAATGTTTCAGTGGAGAGCTGCCCGGCATGTATCAGACTCATCTGGAACGTCTGCTGACACAAGTTTATGGTATCTGTCCTCTAACCTTTGATTCAGGAAGTCTACAAAATACTAGTTCAAGCCTATTTCCAATTGTTGCTGCTGTCCACTGACCCACTCATCCACTTAGGAATGTAACTGCTGCTCATAGATAATACACAGGCGTAACTTTAGTAGATCTTGCCAACTGATTTTTTTACAAATATAATTGAACTAATTTTAATTATAATAAGAAATGTGAATGCTCACATCCTTGTATCCATATCAATAAGTCAGAGTTACTTTGCCAGTGTGCTGGGGATAAAATACTATTTCACGCATATGACTTTGTTAAGATACTTTTTATGCTGTCATTTTGGTTTCTTATCTAAGAAACATATCTGTTCATATTTATGGTTCATTAAATTGTTTGTATTTCCTCATGTATTTATACCATCTTTATAGTCCATTGTTTATAATGTGGGAAATATCTGATCCTAATAATTAAGCCTGTTTTAGGTACTGTTCATAAAAGAGACATGACAAATTTCTTAATGCTTTCCTTTGAGTTTGTTCTTTCTAATTAAAGTTTTCCTCTGTCTTAACTTTCTTACATGTATGTCTTTAGCTAACATAGAGCTAATTTTTCTTAAAGAGGAAGGATCTAATTCTCCAACTTCTCACCTTTAATGTAAAAATCAATCGTCATAAAGCAATTTATGAGCTTTCCCTGCTATCTTGGCTTACTGATTTAAGTCTCTTCTCAAATATTACCTCACCAGAATAGCCTCTCCTGTACTTTGTACAAAAAAACAAACAAACAAACAAACAAACAAAACCCTCATCTTTGGGATATCGGGATATTCCTTTACATGTGATCAAACTGGACTCTCTGAATGTGGCTGACAATGAAGTGACTGAGAAGCCAAGGACAATGGCACTGGGTTTTGACTCTACTGCATGGGCTGGCTATGTGGGAGCCTGGTTTGTTTGGATGCTCACCTTTATAGACCTGGATGGAGGGGGGAGGACCTTGGACTTCCCATGGGGCAGGGAACCCTGACTGCTCTTAGGACTGCAGAGGAGGGGGAGGAGAAGTGGGGGGGGGGAGGAGAAGTGGGGGGAGGGGAGGAGGTGGAAATTTTTAATTAAAAAGAAAAGAAAAGAAAAGAATGTAAAGACCAGAGCAGGGGTGGGCGGTGGAGGCAGGGGCAGGTGGATCTCTGTGAGTTTGAGGCCAGCCTGGTCTACAAGAGCTAGTTCCAGGACAGGCTTCAAAGCTACAGAGAAAAACCCTGTCTCAAAAAATAAAATTAAAAAAAGACCAGAGCAGGGCAATGTATACCAGGGTATACCAGGCCTTTAGCGTCTTGTATAAGTTTCAAACATCTTATCTATGATTAAAATTTTGTCTCACTTGCTCATAACCTTGCTCACTTACTAGTCATATTATATTGACTAGCTAGGAACTATAAAAACACTGTTGGAGAGCAAAGCTGACAACTTGTTTTCACTGGGAACGCTTCTAAACACCTTAGAAACTGCCACCAGCCTCAGTAAATGTCCCTTCTATCCCTGACTTCCTATAGTTTTCTTTGCTTTTCTATTCTTCTGTTTTGTTTTGGTTTTTGTTCTTTTCCAAATTTAAAACTACAAATGAGCTGGTAACTTTTGGAGATTCTTTCCTAACAGAATTTAAAATGATCCTGGTATGTATGGATGTGGAAATTAAATAAACACAATTTTCGGGTGCTGAACAATTCTTACATTCTTTGGATAGCCTGGTAATATTTTATTAAGAATCCATTCAGCCTCATTCCTAAGTGTGATTAGTCTGTAATTTTCATGAACTATTCTTGCCTGGTCTGTATCTCAATATAAAGCAGTCTCACAGGAGCTCTTTCTGTCTTCCTTTCTTGCTCTGCAGATTCCCTTTTAAATCCTATTTAGTACCTATATGGCCATTGAGAGTTTGTGAAATCCACTTGCACAATGGTCGTGGTACAGCAGTGTTAGCTGGAGAAGTGAGAAGAAGTCTGGTTATAGTTCCAGATCCTAAGACTTTGTACTTCTACTTGAGTTAGTCTCAGCAATTTCTATTTCATCAGTAGAGTTTATTTATAGTACTCATTTCCTATTTTTAAAATCCTTGTGGTATCTGTACTTTACTTGGATTTTGATTTCATTCTTCCTTTTGTTTGTGGTTTCTCCCTTGATATTCTTAGAGATCTAAAATTGCAACCTACTGATCTTTTCAAATGATCAAAGTTCTTCAAAGCTTTCCCTTTTGGTTATTCAAAATTCATTTATTTCTGTTCTAAATTTGCTAATATTTTCTACCTACTTTCTTTAAATGTGGAGACTTGGATGCTATTTTATATTTTTCAATACCTTACCTCATTTTCAATATTTATTAAATTGGCATGCTTAGGTTCTAGAGGGATAACTCAGTGGTTTAGAGTATGGAGTGTCTTCCAGGAAACCCAAGTTCATTTTCCAGTCCCCATCTTGGGTGCCTCACAGCCAACAGTAACTCCATTTCAGGGAAGTTAATGTCCTCTTCTGGCTTCTGAGGTTATTCACATGTCACGTATGCTCACCAGGGCATACGTGTAAGTAAAAATAATTGGTGCACTTAAGGCTAAAATTGTCCTCTATATGTCATGCAACATGTAGTGTACTTAAAAATATTATTGTCTCTTGTACATCTGTCCTTAAAGATCAACTTTAAATCACTTAAATTAAATTTCAATACATTCCCACCACGAACTAGAAATATATACAGCAAACTAATATTTCATATCAAACATTTCCCATTCAGAAATGAAAGTTTTCATTTATTCAGATCCCATCGTCCTTCATTCATGTTCAGCAGGGCTGTTCATTGTTTCTATGTTGAGAAGAGGTCTTGCTACTTGAGTCTGGCCTTGAATTCACCATCTGCTCCCTGTGCTTTTAAGTGCTGAGATGATGGCATATGCCACCACACCCAGGCTGTTAGACACTTTTACAGTAAGCTTTTTTCACATCATTGACTTTAAAGATTTTAAGTCTTTCCCTTTGTTTCTTATTAAATTATACCTGTGAATTATGACAGTTAACTGTCTTTCTCTCCATTAATATCATGTTTCATTTTGTCTTTACAATGCTTAGGACTTTTAGAAAATGCCAGACAGTAAATGACAAAGTTAGTCTCATCTTTCTCTTCTTGCTAAGTTTCCTTTGTTTCACTCTTCACACCTGAAAAAAAGGACTTTATTTCCTTTTTAAAAATTCACTGCTTTGTATCGATTTCTTCCAGGTACTGCAGTCTGGCACACAGGGCACTAAGGAGGGCAGGCCAGCAGGTCCGCCTCTGGTTATTATGCTTCAGTCTCTTCAAATTCCAACACACTTCTCTCAGTGTGAGAAATGATCAGTTCCTGCCATTCCCCTGGCTACCTCACATGCCAACACTGGAGAGACTTTCTGTAATGTCTTCCTTTCTACTTCTAGCCAAACTAGCCAAGTGCACTAAAAACAAACCAATAAACAAGTAATTTTTAGGAGCTAAAAAAAAAAAAAAAAAAAAAAGAAATTATACCTCAAAGGTGTTTTTTTTCAGTTTAAAAGAAAGTCTATAATGGCCACATTTATTTTAATTTTAGTTAGAGATAATATCAAGATCAGGGCAGCTAAAGTTGGAAATCAGGTCCTCTCCTGTTTAAAAAATTAAAACGATATTTAATACCTTTGTGGTAACTATCACATATTATACTTTTCAAAACAATTCCATATGTTTATTAATCAGTAATTGGATTTCTTGATTCTACTCACTGTATAAGGAAAGCATCTCTAGAACATGTATTATATGCACTTTTTTAATTCTTCACTTATATTCAGAGTTAATATTATGTTTTTCTCATTCAGATCAAAAAATCAGAAACCTCTAGGCCTTAAGTCGTACCTCCAAAAATGTAATTCCATAACCAATGAATAATTTATAGAGCAGTAGAAAACTTTAAAAAGGTTTCTTTAAAAAAAAAGTAACTGTGGAATTTTAACTGAAACTTAAAATTTTATATCAGAAACCATCAGTATGAAAAACTCTAAAATATAATCTAAACATACTAAAACATGATTATAATGTAGTTAATAAATGTATTATAAGTATAATAAAGTAGAAATAAAAATGTAGTTAATAAAAAGAAGTCTCTTAACTTCTCCTTAAAAAGAAAAAATCATGTAAAAATAATTAGCTTAGCTTATTTTCTGAGCAGCATATATACGAGATTAACTGAAAGGCAACAATATTTAAGTAAAAATGACAACTGATTTTCAAAAATGAGACTAACATGAAAGGGTTCACCACTTTCTGGTAAGGATATGGATGACTGCTTCATGAAAGTGACAACTATGCTGGTGTGCAATGTGTGTTTTCACTATGATTTTTTACACGCATGCAGACATACCTGCGTGGACTTGAGAGCACAAAGCTCCTGCTGGAGTCTTTCCTTCTCGAATGGCTCAACTACACCATGAGACGGTTCAGCTGTTCCTGTTGGCAATATCAAGTCTTCTCCACTTCCTTTAGAGGGAATTTTATCTTCGATCATTATTTTTGATTCTTCTGGTGAATCTTTACTGATTTTAGAATCACATCCTCCAGAATGGGCATCCGTTCCTGTAGTACGCTCAGTGTTCCAAGAGCTCAACTGCGCAGGGCACACAGCGGCGTTTTCTATCCCCTTGGCATTGGTGGGAGCCTCTAACTCTCTGCATCGTGACAAGAGCTCTTCCTTGTCTTGACTTAATAATTTAACCTCTGCACTTAGACAGTTAACCTCATCACGTGTCTGCTTTAACTGTTCTGAGAGAATAGAAAGTTTCTCCGAGAGCTCTAGTTTTTCTTGTTCGGTTACTTTCAGCTTTTCCATAAATTCAATGTTATCCTTTTCAACTAATTCCCTGACTTCCAATGGTTCAGTTATAAAAGTTGCAGCATCAGTTAATTGAGAATGGCACCCTTCCTGCATCACCCGCCCTCCTCTCTGCAATTGCAGCTCTTCAGTCAGGGCTTTGACTTTGTGTTCATACTCCAATGCCTGCTTAGTCTGGATGTCTCTTGCCCTGAGGAGGCATGCATATTCCTCCTGTAACTCTTGATAATTAACTTCAAAGTTCTTTTCAGCAAAGGAAAATGTATTCCTCTGCATCTCAATCTCCTTACTTAGGTGAATACATTGCTGTTTTAGGTCTTCCTTTTCCTTTCTAAGTGTATCAATCTCTTTTTGCCAACTACAGTCTTTTGATGTGTATGTACCAGAAGCTAAAGCAATTAATTTTTCTTCTTCTTCCACAGGAGTATAAACTTTCACCATGTCTTCGAGAACTTTCTTCTCATCTTTAAGAATGCTATTCTCTACTTCAAGTTCTACACATTTTTCTTGTAGGTCCTCCTCTTTTGCTTTTAGTATTTTTTCTAATTGTTCAGTTTTAAGTTGTAACTCCTGAATTTCTTGTTCAAGGGTACCCTTTTCCTTTTCTTCTTGTCTGAGGGTCTCAATTTCTTTTTTGATTTCATTCATCTGAAAATTTCGTGATTCCTGCAAGTCTTTTAAGTCAGTAATCTCTAAAATGAGTTGGCTCTGCTTACTTAACAAGCTGTCTTTCTCGCACTGCATAGTTTCCATCTTCTTACTCATTTCATTTTGTAAGTCATCTATCTGCATCTTATACTGAAGCCCCAAATTATCCTTAAGTTTTTCAATATTTAATCGGTGTTCAACTTCTAGATCTTCTTTTAGTTTAGAAAGCTCTTCTTCATGACTGAAGAGGAGCTGCGTTCTCAACCGGTCCAATTCAGCTTCCTGGGACTCTGCCATTTTATCTAAGACTGCGTTCTTTTCTTTCTCTAACATTTCAAGTTTTATCTTATAATTTGTAATTTCTGCTTCGTGTTTTAATTCGAGTTCCTTCCTGGACTCAAATGCAGCAGTAACCTCAGCTTTTAAGTCCTCAACCATGCTGAGGGACTTGCCGGCTTCATTCAGTTTATTTTCTTGTTCAGATATTGTCTGCTTGGCTCTCTGGATTTGGTCTCTTAAAGCACTTAATTCTTCTAGAAGAGCATTCGATTGACTCTGGAGAGCACACTTTTCCAGCTTTACTACCCGCAGCTCTTCCCTGAATTTCTCCTTTTGATACAGAGTATGCTGTACTTTCATATTCAATTCATTCATTGTTGCACTCAGTAACTTTACTTGCTCGTCATTAACCGCTGGATTTCCGCGTAATTTTAAAGTGTTCTCCATTTCTCCCTTATGCTGGGATTTAAGATCCTCTATCTGGTTCATGTGTTGTTTTATTAATTCTTGCTTCATTTGCACAATCTGTTTTCCATACTCCTCATCTAGCTCCGCTTGGAGCTGTGCTAATTTCTGTTCTGTTTCTTTTTCCATTTTTTGCATTATGCCAGTTTCTGAAAAGTTTACTTCATAATTTTTCTTTTGTAGCTCTTCAATTGTCTCCATATACTGTTTCATTTCTATGGAAGATTGCTCCACTTTTTGCTTAAAATCGGCTAGTTCAAGCTTTAAGCTTTTGGTCTCTTGGTCTTTCTCCTCAAGCTGTCCTTTTAAGTCTCCTACTAACTGATCAGCAGTTGTCACTCGATTAGTTAGCGCAGCAGTTTTTCTCTCTTCTTCTACTAGTCTTGTATTCAGCGCTTCAATAATCGCCTGCTTCTCCTCTATTTTGTTATTAGCGCTTTCTACTTTTTTATTTTGTTCCTTCAGAAGAAAAAAAAAGAAAGTGTAACAACTTCTGGTAACTTTGTTGCTTAACTTTATTAACAAAAGACAGATGAAGTCCCATTTTTACATCCTTCTATAAAAAGTTAATGGCTATGCCCACCCCTCTATTGCTTCCATGATAAGACTTGCATACCTAGACACTTGGAGCAAAGACAGCTCTACAACAGTTCACATCTTCTTAGGAAGAAATATTGAACTGCATTTAGTGTGATTAAAAAGTTAATTAAGGGAAGTGGGGAGAATTTGGGAAGATAAGAAAGAACATGATGAAAAAAATTAAAATAAAAAATGTAACAAATTTTTAAATTGAAAATTTGCTTGGCATGTATGAGATCCTGGGTTCTACTCCCAGTACTTCCAAAAAGGAATGAAAGAAAAAAGTAGGAAAAGAAAATATTGCTAGGCTGATGAGATGGCTCTGATGACCTGAGTTCACGCTACAGACAAAGAAATAATTGAAGTAATTAAAAAAAAACCACTAAATCTTTACTAACCCATTATATCTTCAATTTTAAAATTAACTAACTGATCAATATTCCAATTATTTAATATTCTGACAGTTAATTATATCACTATGCACTCTCTGAATACTCTCAAAAAAAAATTTAAAAGTGAGTACAGGTGACTCCCATGAATTCTAGAGATCTGAAGGTGTTCCAGTGCCAAAAGCTCTGCAATAAGAAGAGATTTTCTGTGACTCTGTCTTAACTTCACTGCCAGGCATTTCAGTGACATCTACAACAACTATAATATTCCTCACATATTAAGCTGGAACTACAGTTTCACTTCAAACAGAAACTTGAAAACAGAAAAGAAAGTTCCCATCAAAGGTCAATTATACGACTGTTGATTAACAGCTGAGTCCAGAAGAACACATCAAACAATCGCATTAAAGCACTGAGTAGAGTTTTGGATCTGCTATTTAGTTTTCTCTGTGAATTAAGGATTCAGACCCAAATAATAAGCATGAAATAAAATCTAAAGAATTGGTCAGAGCTATTATAAACAGGTAAATATATCACAAAAATCCTTGGCAAACAGAATTCAAAGGAATTCTGAGTGAATAAATAAAATGTCTAAAGAAAAAAATGTTGAAGCTCAGACAGAATAAAGCCCTCCGAAGGAAGTACTGGGAGTACCCTCTCAGTACAATTCATGTAAAACACCAAAATGCCTTCAGTCTTTGAGAATTACGGTCCCTCTAGAAAAACCATACCCTGAGTCAGACATGCTTATACATATTGACAGCACTCAAGAGCCAGAAGGATCACTAAACTATACTCAATATAAACAATCAAAACCAAAACCAAACAAACAAAAATGACGTTGTGAAACTGTGGTAAACAGGACTGAAGGACTTGAGCCCACGGGCACCAACTTCACTACAATGAGATGCATAGGTCAGTTTATCTCAGCCTAATGCCACAATATCTGAGTGCTAATCCTCCCTTCTGCTCACTAAAAAACCTTCTAGCTAGTATTTGTTTTTTTAAATTCATTTGTCCATGGAAAGAAAACAAAATACAAAGGACCCAAAAAATACAGTTCACCATGATTATTAATCACTGCACACTAATAACCATATACTTGAAATTTTAAACAGCCCCTTGAACTTGGAACAATCTGAGTTCACCTCTGCTTTAGCACAGGACTCAGATAATACCTAAAATGAATTTCCTGAGCCTAGAAATCAAAATCAGATTGTGTTTCTGATTTGCTATGTTTTATAAGACATTTTCTTACATAGGAAGTGCGGTTCAGGAGCTCTGCCCTAACCCAGGTGGGGAGCAGATGCAGGAGTAGGACAGGCAGCAACAATCACTTTTAGATTTTCATTTCTCATTTGAAAATCAATGAAAGCAAACTTTTTAGGATGAGTTGTTCTTAGAATTTAAGATTATAATCTATATGGTACATAATGCTATCCCCTGCCCCAAAGAGCCTTAATTTCTAAATGTTTCCAAGAAGTAGAACATAACTAGCAGGAAGAGAATAAACAACACTTATTTCTTGTAACTAAATCTATAAAATTTTACCTTGTGACAAAAATACTTTCAGAATTTCTGTATCATAGCTAAAACAGATGGGAATATTTCAGATGCAACAAGATAGATATTTGAGTTATAAATTTAGGCTCTACTGAGACTCCAGTTAACATACACAAATCCCTTTAAGGAATATAATAGTGGGTAGTATTACCTTAGCAACTCTTAGTGTGAGATACACAGTTGTGTGTGAGATTCTCAATTGCAATTATTTTCCATATTCAAAGAGTTTGAATTATAAAAATTTCTAATTCATATGCTTAAGACACATGAAAAAGAAAATTCCAAAGCTAGTTGATATCCTTACCATTTCACACACTTTAATTTTCTCTTGCAGAACAGTTATCTGTATTTTGAACTCCTCCTCCTGTTTCTGATGATCCTTTAATAGTCTGTCTCGTTCTTCCAGCTGCTGCTGCTGAGCCATGACTTGTTGCTTGACATGAAGTAGCTCTGTAGCAGTGCTGCTGTGAGTGTTGCTACGCAACGTTTCACTAGCCTGCAACTTGAACACAGAAAGAACCTTCAGCACACTACACTCTGGAGAGACTGTGTGCAGTAGACTCCTGGGGTCGCCTGCTGACACTGGCTCTCTGTGACCTCTGTTCACTTCAGGGGTTTGAGATCTGCTGTTGCTAGGACTGGACTGACTGAGCCATTAAATTATCGTACATATGATAATAAAGAGAAAGCAGTTCTAGTGAGGGACACAGGACTGAGGCCACAATGCTGGGAGTAAGTGGGGCAGGAAAGGACTTTTACATTCTGGTGACTTTTAAGACTCTAGTTCCAATCTCTTTCAGAGTCTTGATTGTATTTCTGCCCCTAAATCCTATAAGATGCCTGTATACTTTCATTAACTCTCTGGCTGAATATATTTCAAGGTGTTTTGTGTTATTTGCTATCAAACTCTAATCAATGCAATCGGATTCTGCTTTAGTCAGGGTTACTATTACTGAATGACGGAACACCATGACCAAAAGCAAGATGGGGAGGAGAGGTTTTATTTGCCTTATTGCTTCCACATTATAACATCATCAATGGAAGTTAGGGCAGGAACCTGGAGCAGGAGTTGATACAGAGGCCATGGAGGATGCTGACTGCTGGCTTGTTCCTCATGGCTTGTTCAGCCTGCTTTCTTATAGAACCCAGGGTCACCCCAGGGATAGCAACACTCAGAGGGGACTGAGCCCTCCTCCACTAATCACTAATGAAGAAAATGCCTCACAGCCCGATCTTTCGAGCCATTTTCTCAATTGAGGTTTCCTTCTTTCAGATAACTCTAAGCTTGTTTCAAGTTGACATGAATCAGCCAGGATGGAATCCCAAGGCAAACTGAAAGTAAATGGAAGGTGTAGGTCCAGTTACTACTTAGAACCTAAATAAAACTATGCCAGGACTGCAAATGTCCAGTGCAGCTATAGAGCAATGTCTGCAAAATCCATTCAGTCCACCATGGTAAGATTTTGTAGAATTTCAAAACAGAAATAGGGTGTTTAGTTTAAATAATAGCAGGGAATGACTCACGAGATATAAATTAAAAACCGTGGTTATGCTGTGTGGTGGTGGTGATGGCACACGCCTTTAATCCCAGCACTTGTGAGGCAGAGGCAGGTAGATCTCTGTTAGGAGGCCAGTATGGTCTAAAGAGCGAGTTCCAGGAAGGGCTCTGAAGCTACAAAGAGAAGTCCTGTCTCGAAAACAAACAAACAAACAATTATTGGCTACTATAACAATACAAATTTACCAGTTTTTTTCAGGTCACTAAGGTAGTACACTAAAAGAAGCAAATGGATTCTTTAATTTGTTCTGGAAAGTGAAAAAGTATATAATTCATTGCTAAAAACATCAATACACTTTGCTGTACTCATAATACTTACATGCTGGAACTGAATTTGTAATTTCTGACTTTGTTCGGTTAACTTGGAAAACTCTCTCATTGTCTCATCCTTTTCTTTGTTAGCCTGCTGTAGGTTAGCAATCAGCTGAGTGATGATGCAGTCTCTCTGCTTAACGGCAGCTTCAAATTCGTATAACTAGAAGAAATCAGTGAAAACTGTAAATACTAGCTTTTAGGTTTTTATTCTTTTATCAAAAAATAAGTATTCTTCCATGAAAGCTACCGGACTATCCAAATTAATTTTATTTCAAAACTGATTTTGAAAACTTGTTATCTAGCTGGGTGGTGGTGGCACATGTCTTTAACCCCTGCACTTGGGAGGCAGAGGCAGGCGGATCTCTGTAGTTCGAGAGCAGCCTGGTCTACAGAGTGAGTTTCAGGACTGCTGGTTCCACAGCTACTGGGAAACCCTGTCTCAAAAAAACAAAGACAAACAAACAAACAACAACAACAACAAAACATGTCTCTGCATTAAGGAAGAGAATATATTTGCGTTGACTTTTCCATATTTTCTTATAGAAGTATCTTTATACTTTGTAGTGGCCCAGTGTGTTTCTAGGTAACACCAACATGCACACTTAGCCCCAGCGTTTCTCTGAAGAGGATGGAATGGAAGTATGCTGCCATTTTCAGCAGTGTCCCACCCCTCAATGACTTCATCTTGACTTCCTGCACAGCAGATGTCAGTGTAACCCTTACAATGGACTCGCATTCTTAATGGTTTTAAGTCACACTGTCTTGTGGTTTACACCAATTTTCTCTCAGACTCATCACAAAAAAAAAAAAAAAGTGTCTTCACAGGAGTGATTTCACTCTAGATTACGCAGTTAAATTTTAAGTGTGACTGACTATTTCAGCTGTGTTTCTACAATCCTCATTTTAAACAGGCTTGTTTATGCTATGTACAAGAACAAAATTACAAGATGACCTAAGTGGCCACTGCAAAGCCCCATGTGTAAAGAGCACACAGGTGCTAGCATCCACATACATAACAAACTACAGCCACAGGAGGCAGCTCACCCTCTGCATTACTTCAGGCCCGCAGGTGGCTCTCCTGGCTTCCAGTTCTCCAGTTAGTTCTTCGATCCTAAGCTGCTTTCCAGCCAATTCATTTTCCATCATCTCCAGATAGGTCTGACTGCACTGAGCTCCTTGTTGAGAACAATTATCAAATTCTTCTTCCTAAATCAATCCAAGGTTTTAATAATTCAGTACTAGCAGCATGCCTCAGGAAGAGGGATGAAATTTAAAATTCCACAGCAAAGTTCATTTTAAAACATTCCAATATCTTGTGAGTTCATTAATGGGAAAACCTGCTCTCTTATTAATGAGATACATACCTCAACAGCATAAACAGGAGTTCTTCACTATAAAAAGGAGATAACTGGTTTTTTTAAAACATTAAAAACAAGTAGAAATATATGCAGGAAAAACTTTATTAGTAAGCCGGGGTCTTTACACAGTATAAAACATTAGTATCACGAGTGGTATAATTACTATACTATAAGTACAACTGACAGACTTTCCTATTTTTGTCACAAAACAGCAGCCATTTATTTGTAAAAAAAAATTCTGATATATTATGATCTTAAACTGAATGTAATTTACCTGACAACAGTATTTCACTGAGCATGGGGACCGCAAATTCAGCTACACTTACTGGGCAGCTAGCGTCAGGGATCCTCCATCTCTGGCTCTCTAGTGCAGGGGCTACAGACACACATTTTCATACTTTCTATGTGGATGCAACAGATCCTAGCTCATGCTTGTCTCACAAGCACTTTGCTCAGTTCAAGCATCAAAAACACAAATAACAAGTTCAAATGTTAACCATTTCTCAAACACCTGAGTGCTTACAACACACCTGCTTCTCTTCCAATCACCAATTCCCCTCATATTGCTTCTCCATATAAAGGGTAATTGGATAGACTACGGTCTGCTATGACTTTTGAGTGTGTGTATGTGAGGTCAGAGTTCAATGTCAGGTGTCTTTCTCAATCACTCTCCAACTTAATCTTTGAGGTAGGGATTCTCACTGAACCTGGAACTCACTGATTCAGGAAGACCGACTGACCCCAAAGTCCCAAGGATCCTCCTGTCTTGGCCTCCCCGGTGCTGTAATTACAGAAACGAACAACCATACCTGTACTTACCATGGGTGCAGAGAAACCAAACCCAGGACTTCATGCTTGCACAGCAGGTACTTTACTGACTAAGCCACCTCCCCAGCCCCTGAAGAGCCCTTCAAAACTTCTCTGACTCACCTCTCCTCTTCATCTGTCTGGTTTTCTCTAAGATGAAAGATCACTTTGATAGGCTAGGCAACAGGCTACTGTAGTTGACAGGCACAGTGAAGGAGCCCCCAGTAGAAGGCTCTTAAGTACACTGTTTATCATCGTCTTTTATGATCATAATTGCTTTATCAGCCACCACACAGGCAAGATAAAAGCTGAAACCCAACTGTGTAATCATAGAAATGATTGCACCAACCTAAAGAACTTCCCTAAATGCTTCAATAACACACTTGGCAATGGTTCCCAAATTACTTAGGATGTTAACCTTAGTCACAGCAATGCCCATCTCCACCAAGCCAGAGTACTGAAGGCTGGGAATGAGTCAGTACTTGTAGTTCATATTGGAAGAACCTGCCAGGATCTGATAGCCAACCCTGACCAAGGCACCAGAAATATTAGAGATGAACTAGTGAAAGAAAGCTCCCTGTTGGGATAAGACAGTAATGATGATCAAACATGTAAAATGGGCAAATACTTAAAGGTCTCCATCTCCTTCTATGGAGCATTCACTTTCTCCGGCATATTAAATGCATTGCAAGAACTAGAAAGAATTGATCTTGCATTATTAACATGCAGCAACCTTCTTACTCTTCCTGGTAAACTTCGGTATAAAGTGCACTTTATCAGGTATGAGTGCACCTACTCCTGTGTTCTTTTTTTAAGCTTCCTCCTGCCTGGCATATGGACTCTGATATAATCATTTTCAGTCCAGTGTGTCTGTGCCAGAAAGATGTACTTCTCACAGACAACAAATAATTATATCTTGTTTATTTTTTCAGAAAATTAATTTCAAAAAATTGTGTCTGTTAATTGGAAAATAGAGACTAATTACAATTAGTGCTATTATTGAGAATACTTTGCTATTTCCTAGAACTCTGTGGATTGCTTTCTGGTTGTTTCTTGTTTTGGTTTGGTTTTTTTGTGCCCCCATCTATATTAGGCGTTTGCAGAGTGAGACATAAATGGCTTTTTCCTATTTTTTCTCAGTTCATCTACTCTTTCTATGCTTACTCTTTCCTATGCTTTTGTGACTGAGACTGTATCTGCTGTATCTGTGTGTGTGACTGGTGGGAGTATCTTTCACACTGCTAGCTTGGTTGACACGAATGGCTTTAGCTTGTATTCATCTTTAAAAGTTTCAATTTCTTCTGTTCTAAAACTGTTTTGGCATAGTATTCTTGAATGACAGTTTTTAGAGGTTGTGATTTTAAATTCATACTGACCACAGAGGAAATTTTACATACTGTGCATCAGACATCCATTTATTTATTTGTTGTTGGTTATTTTCCTGATCAGTCTACTAGTAAGTATATTCTTAGCTCCAAAACACATTAAATTTGTTAAGTATCAAAGGTTCTATATATATTATTTATATAAAACTGTGCTATGCTAATTTAAGCATAAATGGTTCTCTTTTCTATTTGAAATCTGCAACACATTGAAACTTATGAAATACACTAATTGCTGACACATTTAGAGAAAGAGAAACGCTTTTATGTTCTCTGACTCTGGACCAAAGAAAAGGTTATTATATTTAAAAGATTAAGACAAATAACACACACTTATCACCATCACTTAAAGAGATCTCATCCATTGAGAGTTTCTCACCTAACATCACAAAATGTTCCTAAGGCTAATGCAAATCCACACATTTGTGAAAAACTTTACTCAAAACAAATTTTATATATATATATATATATATATATATATATATATATATATATATAT